ACAATTTAGACCTTCCGTCACCTCTTTATATACATGCATGGACAAGGATTTTAGGTTGACTTAACTTTTAGTTGCTGCTGCTGCCATTACTATTTTTAACTTATGCTTGAATGGCCTTTCCTGTTCAGGCCATTCAGCTCTAAGTCTTTGTTCCCTGGATTCAAGCAACGGATTAGGTTTTTTTTTTTTTTTTTTTTTTTTTTTTTTTTTTTTACATTCTTTTACATATGAAGTTTTGGGACATGTTTTTACATGTTCTTCTATGTCATCAGATTTAAATGTTAACCTTAAGAAGTATGTTTTAGCATTATGTTCCTTTCAAAGATGACAAATGTATGTAAAGTCGATGCTGGGTTTTTTTATTGACTTAAAATCTTGGTTGGAACTACATAAGTTTTCACATAATCCGTCGAATAGAACATAATATTGATTGTCACATAACATAATGTAACCATTAGTCATATGTCTTAACCTGCACCATGAGATCTGCATGAAGTATCCTCTTTCCTACAATCAAATGAAGTGACTGACAACGTGCCTGCCTGGAAATGAAATATCTTTCATTGATGTTGCATATTCTATTTTACCTTCAAGTCAGTTGACCTCTGCTCTGCTTTATAGCTTGATCTTTATATTGCTTTTCACTTGTATCTTTGAGTTTGGGCGGATTTTTTTTGCACAACGTGTTCAACCTCAACATTCTCTTTCAGGCCATCTTGTTTATATGACATGTGACAAACCTATCTGAACAATAAGTGAAAAGCATGCTTCTTTTTCAGTGAGATCCATTATTTTTGGAATGTCAAGCTGAGATACTTGCACTTATTCTTCGCTCATAACTTCTGGAAATGGCTGTAGTCTTTGGCACGACAATTTTTCTCATTCTAGAGCGTTTTGACCTTGGGTCTTAACTGCTTTCACAGGAGATGATGGGACTGGCTTACTTTATGTTGGACCAGTCGAGAAAAGATGCAGAGTACTGCATGGAAAATGCTTTTAGCACTTACTCGGTAAGCATAAACTTGTGACACTTCGTATTTTGTCTTTCTTAGGTGAATGAGTCAGGGATTTGTTATTTGCTTCCATTCGATAACGTTCTGATGCTTGCATAACAATTACGTTAGCCCACTGAGTGGGCTCGTGGATCGGGTGAATCAAAGTTATATTGTGAAATGTGCCTGTGTTCAGTTTGCAGTACAATGCATGAGATTATAGAATATCAAAGAACTCAAGCTTCCCATTTTCCATTTAAGCACTGCTGCTGTACCACTAGGGTTTCAACTGCAGAAGAAAAGTTGTTTAATCTGTCAATCGCGAATATGCAAAAGATGAGAGCATGTTTGGATGTAAATTTTTTTGTGTTGTTGGATTTTTTTGGCTGGTTTGATAAATTTTTAGAAGGATGGTATGGTTAGTTGTTACTGGGTATAAAATAATTTTTAAAATAAAATAATTAAAATTGATTTGATGTAAAAGTTGGAGAGAGATGATTTGAAGTGATGGTTAGAGCATGTACAATGCTTTGGGTCTAATTGTGCTTATATGGCAAGATAATAGACTTAAGTCTTGGATGACATGTACAAAAATATAAAAAAAGTAACAAACTTAACTCCAATGCAAAGAGACTAGGCCTCTACTTGGGTCTAAAATAGACTTAAGGCTAGACCGGGTCTCTTTTTCTTGCTGCCACATAAGCGAGACCTGGTCCACTTGCACTTGCATTGGAGTACATATTTTTCTTCACTATGTCTATTTCTTATGTGGCATGTATATTTTTGTGAATAAACTCTAAGCATTGTAGATGCTCTTAGTTAAAATAATGTGAGCTGATGAATAGTGAATTAAGGTTGATGTGGTTTGTATGAATAATTGATTGATATTATTTAATTATATTGATAATATTGATGATAGTGGGGTTGAGTTAAAGTTGAGTTAAAGAAATGGTTGAGTTAAAATATTGGAATTTTTTTTTAATTTTTTTGTATGCAAACATGCCATGAGTGGCTTTAGGGTTTCAACTGCAGAAAAAAACTTGTTGTTTAATCTGTCAATCGCGAATGTGCAAAAGATGAGTGGCTTTTAGTAATTTTGGCATTAGCTGATGATAAATTTGGATAATATGAATTTGTGAGTGGTGAAAAGGCACTAAAGAAAACGTAAAGTGGAGAAGAAAAACAAGTAAAAAGACGCAGTCGTCTGTTATGGAGGCATATTACTAAAAATTCACATTTGAAGACAAATTTGTGGAGAATGGATTGAATTTCTGGTGGCAAAAGATGTTGATAATAAGAATAAGAACTAATATTCACAATTTCACATGCAAAACTATAGTTGAGCTAATATTAAGCATGATAATTTAAAACTTCTGAAAGAACTTGATAAATCAAGAAAATGAGCATTTGTTTAAGTTGGCAATATGGAATGGTAAAGTGGAGAGTGTTTGGAGGTTTGGCATTGAGTTGTACATTCTGAAAAGGAGGAAAATAACCAGACTTAAGGATGTGCTGTTAGGTTTGTCTTTAGCGTAAGTACTCAGTTGATTTCAGGAAATTTTTGTGTTCTCTCTTTTTTTTGGTGGAAGCGGTGTAGTTTTAGGCTTCATTATCTAAAATCTTAGCCGAACCACTTACAAGACAATTTGCTCGAGCATCCACTGCTTAGGGTAATCTATTTGTATTTGTTGTCTTTCTGTCTCACTGGCTTTATCTATAATAAATTATATCTGTCATAGATGCTTTTGTTGATCATTATCCATTGATCAGTAAAAATTGGTTTAACTTCAGAAAATTGGATCATCTGGCGGGCGGCATGCCACGCGTTGTGGTATATGGTGGGCTGAAATGCTGAAGGCTAGGAGTCAGTTCAAAGATGCTGCCAGTGTCTACTTCCGTATCTCTGGTGAGGTAATGCACATAATTTTGAAAATAAAAGAGATGACAGATTTTCCTATTGTTTTCTTGAAGCATATCATTGTTAGGAACCTTTGCATTCTGCGGTAATGCTTGAGCAAGCATCATACTGCTTCTTGTTATCCACACCAACAATGTTACGGAAGTATGGATTTCATCTTGTGCTTTCTGGGGACATCTACAAGAAAAGTGATCAGGTAATGGTTCGATTAGACTATTTATTTTATGTTATCTCATAATAAGATGATCTGGTGGAGTTATTTTCTGTTTTATCATCAGATAAAACATGCAATTAGAACATATAGAGGTGCTCTTTCTGTCTTCAAGGATACAGCTTGGAGCCATATCAGAGATCATGTCCATTTCCATTTGGGGAAGTAATGTCATGGAAAACTTGTTGATCTTTTTATAAATTTGTTAAATTAGAGTTTAGAACTACATGTACCAGCTTCATGGATGTTTCAGGTGGTATGCATCTCTTGGAATGTTTGATGAGGCTATAAAACACATATTGGAGGTCCTGCTCTGTGGTCATCAAAGCAAAGCAACTCAAGAGTTGTTTCTGCAGGAGTTTCTTCGAATTGTACAGGTGCCGAGCGAAGTTGCTCTTTTTTCCATAAAATTTTGACGGCTTTATTTGCTTCCTGTAGCTATTTTCTGGTAGTCCAAATCGATAACATGCTCAGAACGTCAATGAAAGTTATCCTTTCATTTTCATTCTTAACTATTTGCTTCAGGATGTTAATGTGAAATATTGATTTTTGAATGGAGTTATATCCTTAGTAACACTGTGGAACAAGATGGTTTTACTTTCTGGTTGATTACAACTGCAAGGATTTCTGACTCTGTTGCTCCCTGCTATCTTATTGCTTGATTTCAGTTCTTCAATCGAACCTGAGGAAATTTGAATGGCATCATATTTTTATTGCTACGTTTGCATGTTGTTTGCTTAATCTTTTGTTATTTTTTTGACTTATTTATTAAATTTTTCAGTCCACTCGAGAGTTTTAGGCTCAACGTTCTGTGCTGCTTTCATTTTGTATTGCATTTATCTTGACCAATTGTCGTGGATATCAATATAATTCTTATGCAGGAAACTAGGCAGACATTCGAGGTCCCGAGGCTTCAGTTGCCTGCGATCAATTTTCCTTCTATCAACATCGTGTTTGAAGATCATCGGACTTATGCATCACCTGCAGCTGTAAGTCTGTGGTTCTTTAACTGAAAGCCTTTGGTGTGCCAATTCATTTTCAGTTTGCACTTCTTTGATCATATATGCGATGAAGCTGGTTGGTTTGCCGAGTTCTTTTCTGATGTATTTTCTTCTGTAGTTTCTTCTCAAAAGATGGATGCTAAATTATCAACAAGAAATGATGTTCTTAAATATTATTGTTTTAGCCAGTTTTTCTGCATTTTCTTATGGGAAGTTATGGTTTTTATGGATCCAGATCTTGTGTCATGTGGTCCCTGCGCCGCATTTTAGTTTTATATTAAGTTCTTTGATTGGATGGTTTTCATTCTCAATTATAATAGAGGAATTACAGTATAAAACTTGAGCCTCATTACATTGAGCTCAGATTATCTTCTTTCTTGTAGGCTTTGACATTTCATATGCATCAAATATTGGTCCTATTGAGGTTGACTGGTGGCTAATGTTGTGATAAGATATTTATGCAGAAAGTATTCTGTTTTATTTAAGTGGCCAATGAGGCCTGATAAAAGATAAATGATGTATGCGAATTATGTTGATTTGAGAGGAATTGGATTAAACTATCATTTGGCGAACCACACTGTTAATCACTTCACTGATTAAAATCCTCCAATATCTGGCCTTATTTCATGAATTTTTATCTATAATTTTATTTCACGTTCTCTAATATTACAGGCTAGTGTTAAGGAAAGTGTATGGCAATCTTTGGAAGGGGACATGATTCCATCCTTGTCAGTTACGAAGACTAACTGGCTAGAGTCACAATCAAAGGTTTTACCGAAGAAGTACAAAGAATCAAATGTTTGTATTGCTGGAGGTATGAAGCCGATACTACATTCTAGTTGAATAAAATATGGTCTCAGGAGGTACTAATAACTCTTGGGATTGGTTAACGAAAATTGCATTTCTGCTCCCATAAAATTGCAGTCCTGAGTCTTCTGGTCCGAGTTGAATATTTTTTACACTTTGGCACCATTGAATTTTTTTTTTTT